CGCATAAAGAATCCCAGAAGAAGCCATCATAAAATGTACTCTGCACTGAGCCCTATTCGGATATCCTATGGACAGAAAGCAGAGTCAGGAGAATTATATGCCAGTGTTTTACAGCAACTTGAAGATATGTGAACTTGAACTCCCAGAATTCCCCAGCCAGCCATGGGGAATTCTGGAAATTGAAGTTCACCCATTTTCAAGTTGCCACGGTTGGGAAGCTCTGGTATAGAGAAATAAAAAAAGAGATGTAGCATGAAGGCTAACTGGGACAGAATGTCAGAGATCTATGATAGGATCTGTGCTTTGAAATTTGAATAAATTGTGGCAGCTGATAGGCAAAAGGAGAGATTTAGATCTATGCTGGGACACAAAAACAGATGCAATCTATGGATATAACAGCTTTTGGCCTAGCAAGATAAAACGTATCGGTACTCATATGATGAACTGTTAAGTTTGCTCTCTGGGTCAAGCAGCAATATTGACGCAATAGTAGCTTTAATGGGGGAAAGGGGAGGAAAATATTGACTTCAGCCAATAGAGGGTAGACAAGGCAGGTCTCTATATTTTGAGTTCTATCAAATGAGAAATGTTGCTGGAGAAATTAGTTGGGAAAAACTTCTACAATGAAAAGAGTTAAGCTGCATATGTTTATATTCTCTCTCATGCACGCACACATGCTGTACACACTTCTCTCACTCCCTCACACATACACCTTCTCCACTGACATTCTTAGCCTCCAATGCTGCTTTCTTTTAAATAAAAAAGTGACTATAGGTATCTGTGAAATAAGAGGGAGTCACCAGTATGCCTGGCTGAACCTCAACAAAGCCAAACGTTTTCAGCTTTGTGTTAAAAAAACAAACACAATCTAACCCTTATTAAACCTATGTGTGTTCAATAAGGGCGAAACACCCTGGTTTACATAACATATTAAATCTTACTGTGGTTTTTTTTCTATTTTAATTTGTTTTAGATTTTTATCCTGCCTTTATTATTTTTATACAGCCTAATATTCTTTCCTCCTCCCATTTTTCCCACAACAACAACCCTGTATGGTAGGTTGAACTAGAGAGAGAGAGAGTCAACAAACTGGCTTTGATTCCAAAGGGGAGTGGGGATAAAGTATAATTCACCACCTCCTGGTAATTGGCCCAAATTCACCCAGCCAACTTTCATGCCTAAATCAGGATTAGAACTTACCGTCTCCTGGTTTCTAGGTCACCACCTTAGCCTCTACAAACTGGTCACCAAATTCATTAGCCACCCAATGTAGTTTAGTCAATAAACAGCATTTTTACAGATCATGACTTTAGCAAAGCTTGAGAAATCTTGTGGCAGAATGGGATGGCCAAGGGAACCTATTAGAAAGGAACAGCTGCTAACATTTCCCCAAATCACTTTGGTCTGTTCTGGCTTATTTGTCTCAATGGGAGATGGGTACTAAACGCTTTTTCTAAAGCTGTACTAGAAGAATCAATGGGAGACAGTATCAAACCAATGATCTGGAGATAGTTCAAGGTCTCAAGAGGCACCAAACAAAACAAGCTATACCATTTAAGAATAGATCTTTTTTATTGCTGATCTTAATAGAACTAGAGAGGTGATGGTCACCATGAGGGTGTACTCTGCTTTGAAAGCAGAGTGATGAGAAAGAGAGGATTGGGAAGTTTATCAAGTAGATAATCACCTCTGATATTTAAGTGAGGACCACACACCTGTGCTCCTTGTCTTGCAGGTACCCATCCAGTTTTTTTTATTTATCCTGCCAACTTACTAACAATGGATTGGCATCTACCTAGTGGCCTTTCCTACATTTCTCTATCCATTATCAGCCGAGGAAATAAAACATGTGTGAAGCTTATCGCTATTTTGTTAGCGACTGGGGTTTGGGGAGGGGGAGGAAAAAATTTAAGGACATGCTACTTGCTAGAATTAATTTCCCAGTGCAGATTTGCTGTCCAAGGGATGCCCCGTGGAGGGAGGTATAATCAGGTCACATTGTTCTTTGCATTCTGCAATCTTCTTATTTTATCTGTCACACCCACTTTGAATGCTGGAACTATCCATGTAGAAATGGAATATATACAGATCATCAGAAAGGAAGGGCCCGTCTTCTATTTCCCTATTTAACACAGAGGAGGTTCATTGTACATGATTTTTTTTCAATGATAAGAAGCCCATATTCTCTCAAAAAGCCTCTTGAGATTCTGTATGATCTTCTCCATGAAAGCAGTTAATGTATCTGTAGCTCATCAGCTGATTAATTAGTAACATATCAGTCCCACTGCCTTACTTGTGTGCTTATCAGCTCTAGAAATATACTATATACTGTGGGATAAAATGGAGGATAACATGGAAGATAGCATTTTGAGCAGAAAAATGACCAGAAATATCTAGTACTTCAATCATGGGATATAAGATGAAGTATCCAGAGTGAAGCCTCTTAAGCAAATTATCTTGTTTATCATAATACATTGTGGTATACTTTCTATATCTGTTACATAATTAAATTTTCAGAAAGCAGAACTCTGACTGAAGCTGAGGACACACCTAATTCAGTCTTTAAGATAAAATCATGGATGGGATCAACTACAATTAGGTAGAGCCACAGACTATAGGAGAGAAAGTGGGCCAAATGTATCACAAAGGTTTAGGTGACTATCAGAATGAAGAACAGATAAATAGGATTATTGAGTCAATGAAGTAGAACTGTGGACTGGAACAGAAATGGAAATATGAAATTATGGCTTGAAGAACAGAAGCCTCAAGAGGCAAAACTAAGGAGGTTAAAAGTGGTAGAATTAAAGCAGCAGAATTATAAATTTAAACTATCAGGTTGCACCTCAAAAATCTATGAGCTGCAGAAAAACATAGAGGAAGGAAGGAAGGAAGGAAGGAAGGAAGGAAGGAAGGAAGGAAGGGTACATACAGGCATGAAGCCTTTAATTGAGGCTTGACAAGATCATTAAAGGCAACACATTAATACAGAAAGTTCCCTTATCAGCAAAGTGTACCTTAAGTGTAAACATCTTGCCTTATAGAATTTTACAAGCCAATTAAGAATGTTTTTTCCTCTTGTAAATCTCTCATGTTTTTCTATATTATCCATTATCCATATAGAAAATCTTGTAAAGATGGAAAGGTGGTATCACCATTCAATATATTTTGGCTTAAGAGTGCTAGGACCTGTATTACTGGAAGCACTCATAGAAACCACTGGTTTAATTCAACATGGGCAGCAAGTAAATCCTTCTGAGCTGACATTTTGTAAATTCTCAGCAAGGATCAGTAAAATCTGTGACCTGACCAAATTCTGCATCTTCTTGCATTTTTTTTATTCAGGCTTTTAACTGATTGACACACAAAAAATTAAAAAATCACAAGCCACCTCAAACAAAAAGCCAAACCTTCTTCTGATTTAGAGATTTCAGTAAGGTTGGACCTCCCTAAAGAGGAGTAGAAACTTACTTAAGATGTGCAGAGGAAGGCATGTATACATTCAAAAATAGATCTATAAATAATAATAGGACAGCCAGCCTGCTAAATTCTGCATCTATTGCTCAGTTCAGCACTTTTTCAGCATCTGGCACGGAATTTTAAAAAGATAGCTTTTTCAAAGGAATAAGATCCGAATCGCTAACAGGATTGTAGAACATGAGGCTGGGTAGTAGGAAACGGGCCACAAGGGTCAAGGCAAATGGGGGTGGGGGAGGGATTTAGACGCTGAGGTTTCTCTCACCAGATGAAGTCTGTGCAATGGCTGCAGAAGGTGGGCTGTTTGAAGAAGCGAGCGGTAAACTTATGGCTCTTCACCTCGTGGATAACCTTCTGGCGGAGCGCCCCCTTGCGGCAGAAAAGCGGCTTGGTTAAGCACTCGGTCTCGGTGGGGGAGCTTAGGAGCGCCATGCTGCCCCCTGGGGGAAGCACCCGTGCTCTAACCCGCAAAGGCGAAGTGGTGCCGGAGAAACAGACTGCGGGGAAGAGGAGAGAAAAGACCCGCCACCCAAAGAAGGGAAGCGGGAGATGTGGATCGATGAAGGACAATTAAGAGGTCGGACGGAAGATGAATGGATGCTTGGCAGAGAGAGAGAGAGTTTGCAAAGAAGGGGGTAGCAGAAAGGATGGAGGGGAAAACCCAGAGATGCGGAGGAAAGGATGGGAGATGAAGAGAGCAATTGGGTTGAAGAGCAAAGAAGTGGAGAGTGGAGCAGAAGGAAAGGAAGGGAAAGAAAACGAGAAGAAGGGATAGGAGAACACGGAGGAAGACGCGGAGCAGCAGGGACAGGTTCGGAGCGCGCGAGAAAGAAACAGGTTGTGGCTGAGCTGCCTCTCTTTCTTCCTCAGGGAGGTTTGGAGGGGGAGGCTGAAGCTAGGAAGGAGGAGTTAAGAGTTTAAAGAGGAAGCACAACGGTTGTCTTTCTCCAAGGAGCCAGGAGGACACGCGCACGCACACACACACACACACGCACACCTCTTTCTAAATTCCCTTTTTATTGCACCTCCTTAGAGAACCCGGGTTCCCAGCCTTCTCCTGTTAATAGACCCCACGCACTCAAAAAAACCCAAATGCCCATCTCTTCAGAGCATGTTGAAAGATAAATCAATAATAGGTGGAACTAAAGCAAAGCGGTTGAGGGGGTGGGGAGAGAGTATCTCCTGGACGGGGTTGCAGAAGAAGCAGAATTAGGAAAGACTGGGCAGGGAAATGGGATGTTGTGAAAAAACAACAACAACCAGGCGGGTCAGGAAGTTCTGAGTTTGTTCCCTAGGCCTCTTCCCGGGTAAATGATGGGGCGAGTGGGGGGGGGGGTGTGAATCCGATGAATGGAGAAGTTGGAGAAGTCCTGGGTCCATCCCCATCTCCTGATCCCTGTTTTTAAGTTCAGAGTTCCCGGTGACAAATGTGGAAGCCATCCTGCCCTTTGGCAGGGCACTCTCGGGGCCATATTAATGAATAACTTGGCCGCGGGGCTGAAGAAATGGATATATAGTTCCAAAGGAGATGGGTTTTATGCAGTGATCCTAAGCCTATGAGGCAGACTCCTTTTTCTGCTCTGCACCCTTCAGAAGAGAATTCCAGATCAATCCCTACGGCACCCAGGAATCTTGGGTCATCAGCCCTTTCTTCCACAGGGCTGACCCTGACCACTGCCTACCCATTCCTCCTCACCCTCTGAAAGCAGTTCCCCCTTCCCTCCCCCCACACTCAGGATTCCCAAGAAATTTCTTGTGCTTGGTGACACCATGTCTGGGTTTGCCTCCCTGCTCCTACTCCTGCTTCTTTCTTGCCATATCTCAGAAGGCTCCAACTCAGAAGGTGAGTCCCTTCCTACCTCTTCTGGGGGGGGGGTCCTACAATTGCTCGTTTTTAACACAAGGTGCTAGGTTAGGAATACAGGAGCTGCTTTTTCATTATCGTATCCGAATGACATGATGAACCCAGCCACTTTGTGACGTTAGTGAGGCCAGCCAGCTGTGGTTTTTAATTCAAGAGACCATGAATTGAACAACACAAGGCTTAAAGCAGAGCTGGTTATTCTTTCAACATCAACGTCAGCTCTGACCAATCCTAACTTGACTGCTAGCTTAAGTGAGCCGTATTCAGCCCTAAATATTTTTAAGTTGCATTGATGGAGCATCAGCTGTGACACTGTAAAAGCTTCTGGATTGTTTAAAGCATAGTTGTCGTGTTTTGGCTTGCCTGAGCCTCATTGAGTGAAGAGGAATTATCTTGGGCCGCATATAAAATATATAGTATATTAATGTATATAAACAGTAAACTTCATTTATTTTTGGCATGTTTTTATTATCTGGGGGTGGGGCTGCATTGCTAGATGCCCAGGGCCACATGTAGCTCATGGGCTGCAGATTGGGCATACCCGATTTAAAAGGTAGCCAAATGAAAAATACAACTACCTTCCATTGATTTGCCTTATCAACTTTGTAGCTCAAGTTGGACATAGGAGCAAAAACAATTGTGGGTCCTTCTGCCAGAAGATAAGTTAAGGACAAGTGTTTAATTACCTGTTTATTTTCTTCCACCCAGGTGGAAATAAATAAAATAATAAATATATAATAAAATAATAAAATAAATAAAAATAATATTTTTATTAAAGACTTGAGATATTAGATACTTTTTAAAAATGCTTTCCCTGCAATAGGATACAACACACAAAGCAAACTGCCCTGAATAAAAATATCTTACGGGGATGTAATCATTTATTCTGAAAAATCTATTAAAGACGTTCAGCTTTCTTCAAGCTATTTTACAGATAGAAAATTGAAGTTTCCCAGAGTGACATTTATCTACTCAACTGTCCCAGATCTTGAAAGCCACATTCTAACCATTGAATAATATTGCCACTCTGTACTTTTTAACTTCTACATTGCACACTTTCACATGTTTTCTTTCTCTGTCCATCCAATGGTTAATTTCTAAAATGCAAATATTGCTAAAATGAAGGTATTTATGCCTCATTTAACTTTCTAACAGTATATGAAATCGATGCATTCATTTGTCCTCAGATATACTCAAGGTGTTTTCCATAATCACATTTACATTTATGTGTGTGTGTATCTGTAATTATATGTTATAATTACATAATAACTGATTTTCTACAGAGATTTAATGCATTTGAGAAAGATCCAGAAATATTTAAGCTATTTTAGGGAAGTACAAGCTTCATCATGTATTCAGAATGTGTGTGTGTGTGTGTGTATAAAATCAGACTATGTGCAGGCCATTTTCCACCAACATCACAGAAAATATCTTAACCACTTAGTCTAGATTGAATGTGGCTATATGAAGTAATATGGTGGTGCAATTGATATGGTTCTATTGTTTATTTGTGGGGCTACACAAAATAAACAATGGAACACGTTGCAGATCATCAGCTTAGCGTGCATCTAGTTTCATAACTGCATAAAATAACATTCAATCAATAGAATTACTGAGAAAATAATAATAATTGTATTTATCTGTTTGGTATACATTATACACAATAACTTTTATTATGTTTCAATGCTTGGTTTATTTATCCCCAAATGACTAATCTTTAAAATCTTTATAAATGTGCAAAATATGAAGAAATACTCCAGAATACATTACTGCCCAGAGATTCCACAGCAGTGGAATCTCTGAGAAAAAGAAATGGGCTAAAGCACAGAAATAGCTAACAAATAGGTACAGGACATATATGTGTGGTGGTGGGGGGGGGGGGCGGTGTTTCTTGAAAATTAATATAAAACTATCAGTTTTAGAATATATTTCTCCATCTGGTGGCCACTGACAGTAAAGCAACTTTCCTCTTGTATATTAAAAAAATATATTTTTTGTTTGAGCTTGAGTTATTTTTACAGTCAATTTAGAACTTTAAGCAGCAATATGGAACTGACCTTCTTCCCAAGTATTTTTGAACTCTTTAGCCCTAATATTTACAGTAATTAAATTTTCCCTGACAGACCTGATTAGGTCTGACCCAGCTTAATTTATTAAAATCATGTTGGGTATACTCCAGCTGGACTCTTCTAAATGAAAATGGAAAAAAGATCTGCTTAATGAACAAAACCTACTTTCTTTCTTAACCGCCACACTTTCCCCTTCCATATAGGATATATTTAAAGTGCAGTCTCAGGGATTTTTGAAAATGGGTGTTACTTCTTATTAGCATCCTATTAAGAACTGTCACCTTGTTCACAATTAAGGTTGTGCGCAAGGGCAGGTGATTTTGCTTTATATAGACATGATAATTTCTTAGACATTAAAAAGCTGTTAAAAGCACAGGAACAACAGTTGTGCCTCCTGCTCACAATCAATAACACTCTTTTGCTCAAGCACATGAAGAAGAGGGAAGTTTAAATGTGTGCAATCTTGGATTGCAAATACTGTACAGGCCCAAGGGCGATAGTTAAATTACACTGATCTGAGCTACTACAGGTAGTCCTTAACTTACAACAGTTCATTTAGTGACCTTTCAAAGTTACAACAGCACTGAAAAAAGTGACATGACCCTTTTGCACAGTTACGACCTTTCCAGCCTCCTCATGATCATGTGATCAGAATTCAGGTGCTTGGCAGCTGATTCATACTTATGACCGTTGCTATGTCCCAGGGTCATGTGATCCCCTCTCGCGACCTTCTGACAAGCAAAGTCAATGGGGAAGGCAGATTCACTTAACAACTGGGTTACTAGCTTATCAACTGAAGTTATTCATTTAACAACTGAAGCAAGAAAGGTAATAAAATGGGCCAAAATGTCTCACTTAATAACAGGGCTGAGTTGTGATCATAAGTTGAGGACTACCTGTATTTTTTTACAAGTATTGATAGAGATTGTTTCCATCACACACACACACACACACACACACACACACACACACACACAAATCCTCACAAACTGTGGTTTAGTTTACAGAAGGAGGTATAGACCAGAAATATAAAAATAAAGCCAATTTAAATACCAGTCCTTTTTTTTTTTTCAAAAGTCAACACACATTTTCCCCTGGATTATATTTAAACCTGACAGGATGATCGCTACTTAAATCTCTGTAATAGTAGATTGAGTGAACATACCAGCCAATTCAGAAGGTGATTTATTTAGGTTTTGGCTTGATGTGTTACACCCAACCATTCTGGTTTATAAACCATGATTTATGGCAGCATATTGTATGAACCTAGCCAGTTGTGGTGCACTTAATTTTCATTAAACAATGGTTTAGCATGATATATGAATCCATCAACCATCTAGCAAGAGTGCTCCAAAATTGCAAAATATGTGTCATTAAATGATTACCAAAGATTTTGGAGCAAGCTGGTAGCCAAATATTTCAAAGATCTGTTTAGGGCCACAGAGACCTAGATATTCAATTTGGGAACACTAAGAAAAACAGAGAGACGCCCACAGCTTGGGCTTGGGATTCTAAAATAAAATTCATTGGAAATGCAAGAAAACTTAGTTCTCAAGCTAATTTGCTTGTGGATTGATTATTTTCCTCTCATATGACTATATATTTTCCATATTAATGAGGATTTCCAAAATTAAAATACTCAAACAGAAAGCTTTGATAATTGTTCTGTATGTTGAACCAGTTTCACTTCTCAGACAAGTTGAACTTTGAAGAAAAGGTGTAAGACGTCATGTAAGGATAAAACCGCAGGTAGTCCTTGACTTATAACCAATAATTTAGGGACCATTCAAAGTTACAACGGCACTGAAAAACGTGACTTATGATCCTTTTTCACATTTACAACTGCGCCAGCAACCCAGTGGTCATGTGATCAAAATTAAGACACTTGGCAACTGGCATGTATTTATGATGGTTGCAGTGTCCTGGTGCAAAGTCAATGGGGAAGCCAGATTCACTTAACAACCATGTTACTAATTGAACTTGCAGTGATTCACTTAACAACTGTGGCAAGAAAGGTTGTAAAATGGGGCAAAACTCACAACTATCTTACTTAGTAATGGAAACTTTGGACTCAATTGGTATCATAAGGGAAAAACTTCCTGTACTTTTAGGAAGTATTGTAATGTAAAGTTCCTGTATTTTAGTGTTGTAATAGATGAGACCGTTCCTTCCCAGCAACAATAGTTTTGTCCTTCTTCCATACCTGCCGATTTCTCCTTGCCTCCACAATTTATTTATTTATTTATTTATTTGATTTGATTTGTCAATTGTTTACAAGATAATAAGTATAAGTGTATACATAGTTATGAATACATGAAATGGGTACATATAAGAAAAATAAAAGAAAAATATAAGAAACAATAGGACAGGGACGGTAGGCACGTTGGTGCGCTTATGCACGCCCCCTAGAGACCTCTTAGGAAAGGGGTGAGGTCAATAGTAGACAGTCTAAGGTTAAAGTTTTTGGGGTTTGGGGAAGAAACCACAGAGAAACCACATTCAATCCCTCTTAATAACTGACAGAGCAGGAAAGCTTTCAGCCCATTTCACACTTTCTACCTGGCTACTTAGGGGTTCGCTAGACTCTCATAATCTTGCCCCATAAATCATCTCCTCTGGGTTATTCCTAGTTGTCAATTTTTTAATCAATAACTCCACGACACCATTTCCCCTCAGCAAAACACTTAGGCATTTTTGTCCTTAAGATAGGTAGCTCATTCATGTTGAGTTCCAAGTACCTTTTGATCAGAATTATGTAAAAACCAAAGGGTAGACGTTCAATCTTGGATTGCAGCCTACTTGAAGGTGCTCTTGTGGCCTCTGAGAGCTGTGATAGTGCAGGCATCTTCTTGAAAAATCTTCAGAAACAACTTGGCTGAACACCTCTACCATTCAGCTTGGAGGACCCCAAAGTTGAAATGTCTCTGAGATATTCAGGACCTTCTTAGAGGAAGGTGGAAAAACATGTTTTTCTTTACAAGTAGTCCTTTCCCTTATGGTCCTAATTATGCCCAACAATTCCACTGCTAAGCAAAGCAAGTGTTTAAGTGAGCCACACCCCATTTTATGACTTTGGTTGTTTGATGAATCACTGCAGTTGTTAAATGAATCGTGGTTGTTAAGCCCATCTGGCTTCCTCCATTGACTTTGCTTGGCAGAAGCCAGCTGGGAAAGTTGAAGGTGGTGATCATGTGACCTTGGGACAGTGCAGCCATCATAAATACATGCCAGTTGCCAAGTGTCTTAATTTGGATCACAAGACCTTGGAGATATCTTAAATGCAAAAACCAGTCATAAGCCACTTTTTTTTCAGTGCCGTTATAATTTCGAACGGTCTTTAAATGAATGGTTGTAAGTCAAGGACGTCCTGTACTTTCTTCATGGAAGATCCATAATAGGGGCCTGGGACAAGTAATTTCCTCCCCAAATTGGAGTATGTTTGATCTAGTGGCAGATATCCTTTCCCTGTCATCTCTCTTCCGGTTCCTTTTCTCAGAAGAAAACTGGGAAGAATTTTTGACATTAGCTTTTCCTCTTAGAGAAGACCAAAGCCTCCATTTGAATTAGAAGAGGGAGAAAGTCCACTACATCTATTGGCCTCTGAGGGAATTGAACTAATTTTTAGCTTTTGTGGTGTGTGTGTGCGTGTGTGTGTGTGCGTGTGTGTGTGTGTACGTATGTATAGCATATTTGTTTATTTCTGACCTTTTTTAAAAAAAAGTTTCCTTCATTTTTGTATTGGATTTTAAATAATTTATTGCCTACTTACAGATAGAGGACTTGGGAAATACATTGAGAAAAGGGGGTCTGGAAATATTAAAAAAAAAAAGATGATTACAGGTAGTCCTCAATTTATGACCCCAAACTGAGCCCAAAATTTCTGTTGCCAAATGAGATAGTTGTTAAGTAAGCTTTGTCCCATTTTACAACCTTTCTTTCCACAGTTGTTCACTGCAGTTGTTCAGTTTGTAACCTCGTTGTTAAGTGAATCTGGCTTCCCCATTGACTTTGCTTGTCAGAAGGTCACAAAAGGGGATCACGTGATCCCAGGACGCTGTAACCGTCATACATATGAATAAATAAATATGAACCCATTCACAAGCATCTGAATTCTGATCATGTGACCATTGGGATGTTGCAACAAAAAATGTGAAAAAGAGTCATGTTACCTTTTTCAGTGCTTTTGTAACAAAAGTCACAAAACAAATGGTTGTAAATCGAGGACTAACCATAACCTGGCGTGGAACTTGAGTTATCACTCCATCGTTTTTTAAAATTAATTCATTTATTCAGTTTGTATGGCCATTCATCTCAACCAGTGAAGAAGCTTAAAATAAATTCAAATCACCAATACAAAATTAAACTATGCAGCAGGTGAGGAAGGAGTTTCTGGCTGTTTTTTTTACTATTGCTTTTTCTTATTTATTCTTATTTACTCTTTCGGTTTATACATCTGACCATCCAGACGATACCCCACAGCATTTTGCTTTTAAGCAGCATTTATTACACAGGAATCCAATTTTTGTTCCTTCATGTTCTGTTCACACCTTCATGCCTTCTGCTAGACTATGGGGAAAAAATGAGCTTTGATTTGAGTTTGGCTTTCTTTCTTTTCAATTTAGATTAAGTTTCAGCTTGACATCTTTCTTGTTGGAAAATCTGCAGGAACTTGCTCTGGGGGAATGAATCAAAGCTAACAACAGGCTAATGAGGCAGAGCTTAAAAGGTTCAGCTGAGGGACATTTAAAAAGTACACAAAGAGGAAATGAGCCCAAACACATAATATTACCTTATGTGTCACAGGATGGAGAGAAAAAGCAAAATCACGCTTCCCACCAGAAAGCCCAGTTGGGGGCAAAGTCGCACTAATAGACAGCGTAATTCCTGGCAATTTTCTGTTTTAGCTTTTGTTCTATTGGCCTAATGCACTACAATGCCCATCATTCTCGGATGCCTCATCTAGATTAGAAAATGCCAAATGGGATACTTTCTTCTCTCTTTTCTAAAACTCACAATGAAAAGGGAAGATATCTAGAATTATTTTTAGTATGTTGGACTGTATGGGACTTTGGCTTTTCCCCTGCAGTTTCAATCTTAAATGTTATGAGATAGATAGATAGATAGATAGATAGATAGATAGATAGATAGATAGATAGATAGATAGATAGATAGATAGATAGATGATAGAGGTAATCCTTGATTTACAACTGCTATTGGGATTGCAATTTCCACTGGTGAGCAAGGCTTAAGTAAGTCACACCCAATGTTATGGCCTTTTATGCTACAGTTGTTAAGTGAATCACTCCCCTCCCCCAATTGACTTCGTTTGTCAGAACCTGACTGGGAAGGTCCCAAATGATGATCACATGGCCCTGGGATGCTGCAACTGTTGCAAATAGATACCAGTTGCTAAGTGGTTTCTTATCAGCTTGGTATCTTTATCAGTTGCTAAGCTGAATTTTAATGATTCTACCATGGGAATGTTGCAACAGTCATAAGTGTGAGAACCAGTTGTAAGTCACTTTTTTCAGAGCTGTTGCCACTTCAAATGATTGCTAAATAAAGGGTTCTAACTGAGGACTACCTATACAGATAGGTATGTATGTACGTGTGTGTGTGTGTGTGTGTGTGTATGTGTATGTACATCTGTATCTCTGTATCTATAGCCACATATACACAACTCAAAGCAATAGCATACCAATATGCCTTTCTCCTCCTATTTTCCTCACAACAACAGCCCTGTGAGGTGAATTGGGCTGAGAGAGAGATTAAGGAGCCCACAGTCATCCAGCCAGTTTTCATACCTAAAGTGGGACTAGAACTCATAGTCTCCTTTTCTCTAGGTCAGGGTTGTCAAACTCAATTTCATTTAGGGCCACAAAAGGGTTGTGTTGGACCTCAAGGGGCTAGGGTGGGCGTGGCCAGGTTGACATCACGTGTTGGGGGCGCCTGTGGCAGCCTCCGCCAGCGAATATAGGATTCTGATCTCCATTTTCAGCTCCTCCTACAAGCTTCTGCAAGCAAAAACGGAGCTCTGTTTCACTGACCGAGGCACTGCAGGCCGGTCCTTCCCTGTTTCCAGGGCGACTCCGCGGGTCAAATCTAAGCACCTTGTGGGCTGGATCAAGCTCGCAGGCCTTGAGTTTAACCCCTCTGCTCTAGGGGAGCACCACTGCACCAAACTAGAAATAGATTGTCCATTAGACAGGTGTTTATTGCCATTTTTAAAAATCTGGTTTTGTTCATAATTTGTTTTTTGCTGTTGCTGCTGTAAATGCTCTGTGTGGGTTTTTTCTAAGTAAACAAAATATTTTTCTAAATCAGGTGTAATATATTTGGATTTCACCTCCTCCTGCTGCCCCCCTCCAATCTCTTTCAGTTGCATCTTATAAACATTTATTCTTTTGACTTTCTTCAGCAAGGAATATCACTGAAACCAAGTGTCCTTCACGGAAAAAGAATTTTGCAGTGCGTATAGGACACGTTTGTCAGAGGAGCTGCGAACGCCGCCAATGTTCAAAAACCAGAAAGTGTGCATGCGACGGTAAATGTGGACTGAGTTGCATTTCTCCAGGTAGGCATATACTGACATTACTTTTAGGGCCCCAGGATTCTGAAATAGTTTGCAACAGTATTTCTCAAACTTAGCAACTTTAAGGTGTGTTGGCTTCAACTCCCAGAATCCTCCAGCCAGCCATGAATTCTGGCGGTTGAAGTCTAAACATCTTACAGTCATTAAGGCTGAGAAATACTGCTTTACAGTCTTCATTCATCTCCCAGATAATCCCAGTGATATTATTCTTATTCTAGTTGGCAGTTAATTTTCCCACATGAGAAACGGCATTGTTCTGCCGGACAACCATCTCTTCCCCCTGTCCCCACAGCTGCCCCATTCTTTTAATGCCCCACCCCCTCCAGTCAGAAGCAGGCTGGGAAGGTGTTAAATTGTGGCCGTATGATCCTAGAACACTGCAACCACCACAAATGAGTTTCGGTTACCAAACACCTGGATTTTGATCATGTGACCATGAGGATGCCGCAACGATCGTGTGAGGACCAGTCATAAGCAAAAGCACTTAAGGTTTATATACCACCCCATAGTGCTTTATAGCATTCTCTGACCAGTTTACAACATCAGCATATTGCCTCCAACAATCTGGGTCCTCATTTGACTGATCTTGGAAAGATGGAAGGCTGAGTCAACCTTGAGCCAATCATAAGTCACTTGTTTCAGCGGTGTTGTAACTTCAGATCATCGCTAAACAAATGGTTGTAAGTCGAGGACTATCTGTATTCTTTCAGCACTCTTGTTGGAAGCTAACTCAGAAGGTCGCAAATGGTGATCACCTGACTCCAAGGCATTGCAACTGTCAAAAATATATGCGGGTTCCCAAGTGCCCAAGTTTTGCTCATATGACCACAAGTCACTTTTTTTAGTGCCATTGTAACTAAAAAAAATGGTTGTAAGTAAAGAATCGGCTGCCTCTGAGAGGAGGGCAGGACATTCTGCCAAAGTTAAAGCCCTTCTGTGTTTCCTCTCATTACATCTTTCCTTATCTTATAAGGAATCTTCCAGTTTATCTTTCAAACCAGTAAACAAGCATTAGATCGGGGTGGGCAAGTATGGCCACTTGGCGACTTGTGGACTTCAACTCCCAGAATTTCTCGGAGACTCAGGAATTCTGGGATTTGAATGCTCAGGTCGTAAAGTGGCCATAGTAGCTCACTCCTATATTAGTCTTCCATCCTTGGCGGGCTAAGTGACTAGTTCCTTCCTGGTTGTACCCGTGTCATTCATTCTATGTTCATCCAAGCCTTAAGATGTCCATGGCCTGTGACAGTAGATAATGCCGTGACACACTTGGCCCAGGAATCCCACATGTTTGGAGACTTCATGACAGTGACCTGCCAGCCTGGATATAGAATACTGGATGGACAAGAAATGTCAGTCAGCCGTTGTCAAGGAGACGGGAAGTGGAGTGTCACTACACGCTGTGAAGGTACTATTTCCTAGTTATTAATAATTACTCAATACAACCAATCTCATAATCTTGTCTTGTCTAAAAATCTTTATCCAATCTTTGATCCTCACCTTCAACTCTTTGAAAGGATCCTGACTAGGAAACAAAAGTTATATGAATGCTGATACTAATTTTATTATGAGGTAGCAGGAACAAAATCTTGCAAGTCTGAATGTGTCTTCTCTCTCCCTGCTTTTACGTTCAAGAAAAATAGGAAAATGTGATTTTAAAAATATTAGAATGTGCAGAAATGGATAGATTAACATTTACAATTAAGGAAAGTGAAGAAACTGAATACTTTTCGACTTGGGACTTATTTTATCAATGGTTAGCTGACAAAAACAGAAGTTAGAAACATGGAAATATAAGAAAAGGATCAATGAAAAAAGGGAGGCTTGTTAAAATGGATAAGCAAGTATCAGTAATATTATTATGATAGAATGAATATCAATGCAATGAACATTGTTGTAATCATTTGATGATTATTTCCTAAAACTATTAGTACTCAGACAACACACTGTTTAACTAAAAATGGAACTTTTATATGTTATAAAATAAAAAACTTTATGCAAAAAAAAAAGAAAAGAAAAATAGGAAGAATCAAATCTGACCCGCTTTGCAAATTAAATTTCTGCTTTGGACTCAGATTTCTCTTATCTGACTGTCATCTTGGTTGCTGTTCCTCAAGGTGATTTTCACAGCCTATGACATTACCTCAATATCTTCATCAAAAGGCTAATGAATGGTTGACCTAGTTGACTTTACATATCCTTGACCTTTTCCAGATGTTCTTAGTTTTTCAAATGCTTGCAAATCTCCTCCTGAGATTGAAAATGGATACCACGAAAATGGTCCTTATACCATAGGAAAGGAAGTGCTATATACATGCAACTCTGGGTGAGTCCAGTACGCTATTTCTTCAGTGAGGGCAATCCTAAAATTCTAAGCAGCATACTTGCCACTTCTCCTATCTCAGTGTTTCTCAACCTGTAATTTTAAGATGTTCGGACTACAACTCTCAGAATTCCTCAGCCAGCATGCTGGCTGAGGAATTCTGGAAGTTGAAATCCACACATCTTAAAAGTTTCTCAGATTGAGAAACACTGTCTAACTAGTAGACCTACGTAGGAACAACGAAGCATTTGTAACTTTTGTATTAGCATACCAATGGAGTTGGACTCTTCTCTTCATCATCTCAAACAATTTTATGTCCTTTTTCAACTTGCAGAAAGACCCTGGAGATCCCATGAGCAAATAGGAATAATGATTGCCCACTTTCAGTTTCTAAATTTGAATTTCTAACATCCCTTTGAGAATTCTTACATACCATAAAATTTACCTCAGAATGTGAAATCTTTGTCTTTGTGGCTCCTGGTTGTTTACTTGACTTCCTTTCCAGGAAAGCACCATAGATAGTCCTTGACTTATGACCACAACTGAGCCTAAAATTTATGTTACTAAGTGAAGCAGTTGTTAAATGAGTTTTGCCTCAGTAAGCCTCACAATTCAGTAGGCCACACAACTGTGGCCTACATTTTGCCACAGTTGTTAAGCAGATCACTGCAGTTGTTAAGTGTTCATTAAGGTCATCTGGCTTCCCCCATTGAGCTTGCTTTTCAGAAGCCAGTTGGGAAGGTCCCAGATGGTGATCCCATGACCCTGGGACAGTGCAACTGTCATAAATACATGCCAGTTGCCAAGCACCTGAATTTTGATCACCTGACTTTGGGGATGGTGCAGTGGTCATGATTGTATTCATGTGTTTTATTTATTAATTAAATTTTTAAGCCAACAATCTCTACTGCAGTGTGACTCTGGGCAGCTTACCAGTTATAAAACAAGTAAAAATAATTAAAATAATAAAACATTAAAAACTATGCAGATTAAAATATTAAGTAAGTGTGAAAACCGGTCATAAATCACTTTTTTTCAATGCCATTGTAACTTTGAACCACCACTAAACAAATGGTTGTAAATAGAGGACTGCCTTTATTTGAAAGTATGAACGATTATTCCCTAATAGTGCCAACTTTCTCTTTTTCTCTCTCCCTTGCTGTATAGATATTGGTTGCAGGGGTCCAATTCACTTCGATGCCAAGAAAATAAGGAATGGTCAGACAATGCTCCAACTTGCCATCGTAAGTAGTCAAGACACAACAGCAAAGGAAGATAATTATAACTTATTTCAGGTTTCTTAAATGTAGTCAGGTAGAAATATTCTGTTCCATGTCCATAGTAGTAATATGTCTTACCACAAACTTTACATAAGAGTGACCAGGCATATACACTTAGATCAACCACCTGTAATCCAAAACATAACACTTGTCAACATTTGCCTCTTTCTGTCCATTTTCATACTGAGAGATCTATGTATTCATATCTATTCATATATTCATTATAAGAGCTAGTGCAGTGATTAGAATGCAGTATTGCAGGCTAACTCTGCCCACTGCCAGGAGTTCGATCCAGAGCAGTTCAAGGTTGACTCAGCCTTCCATCCTTCCGAGGTTGGTAAAATGAGGATCTAGATTGTTGGGGGCAATGTGCTGAAATTTGTAAACCACTCACAGAGAGTGCTGCAAAGCACTATGCAGAGGTATATAACTGTAAGTCAGCAGTAGGATCCTACCTGTTCCTACCAGTTCGGTGATCATGTACGCACCTAATGCACACATGCAGCTTTCCCCACACCAGTCAGCTGAAAGGATAAAGAAGAGAAAAGTGCAGCGGTGTGTGGGAGGGCCAATCCTGCGCTTTTCTCTTCTTTATCCTTTCAGCTGATTGTCCAGCTTTTTTTCTTTCCCTCAGCTGATCGTGGGAGGCTTTTTTTTTACTACCGGTTCAACTGAACAAGTTCAAACCAGTAGCATACCACCACTGCTCTAAGTGCTTTTGCTATTGCTATTATCCTTTTAACCATTAAGCCGCAACTCCCCTCTACATATCTTTCCATCTAAATAGACATTTCATACATCATTCTGTTGAGGTAATTCCCTGTTAGGAGAATGAGTGCATACAGGGAGACATATTTGAGAGGAGTGTTTGAATAATACACACAGAAGGCACACACTGTACAGTAAATGTAGGTTTTTACTTCCAGAAAGATTTAAGCAAAGTCCAAAATAAGCAATCCAAAAGTCATTCACAGGTAAAATCAGTCAGTTTTCATCCAGGGATAATCAAATTCCAGTGTCAAAAACAGTTCAGTATTAGACTTACATTAAATCCAGTAATATCAGTCAATTAGAAGAAATGGAGCAACGGCAATACTTTCCAACAGAAGGAAACAGAGATACACTCACACTCTCTTCTGAGACTCAGACTAAACAAACCAGGTTTCTCGCTCCATCTTATGGCCGTTTGAGAAACCACACCTAATTACAGTTTTGCATTTTCTTAAAGTTACACTTTTAAAATGTTTATCCTGGTTTATATATTTCTAACCCAAATAGCTGTTAGGTGACTCATATTCCTAATACATTCCATGCATCGATATAAGTTCTCTTCCATTGACTTTTAATTAATCCATCCATTTAATTTGTAGACTTATCTAAGACTTTCTTTTTCTCTCATCAGCTATTACCTGTTCCCGGCCACCCAACATTGCACAGGCAACACTGGTGGCTGTACACCAATCTGAATACCCTGTAGGAACTGTAATCTATTACTTATGTCAGAAGGACTTCTTCCTAGATGGTTCTAACAGAGCCATCTGCCTGAAAAATGGAAGCTGGTCCCAACTGCCTTATTGTAGAGGTATCTTTCTTTTTCACCTTCTTCCATTCCTGTTATATAGAATATTTTATCAATCACCCATTAAATTCCACCTCCAAGTTTTGTTTGCCTTTCCAGATGATGATCCCTTTACTTGTTTCTTTTCCATCCTAGCTCGCTGTCCCGTCATTGCCCAAAGGAGCCGGATGATCTACCATGGACACAAAGTTTGGGCCTATGAGATCCCAAATGGTCTTGTTCACCATGGTGAAACTGTCACGTTTTTTTGCCGAAGTCAGAATAAGACCTGTAATTATGAAGCTGAAAGCCGTTGTTTTGATGGTGTATTGAAGATGCCTGATTGCTATGATGGTGAGGAGTAAAAATAAGATGTATTAGGGATCAACATAGTACATTCAGATTACTATATCATAGCTTCTTAACTTTATTGGGATATTTGAGAAAGAATAGAATAGAATAGAATAGAATAGAATAGAATAGAATAGAATAGAATAGAATAGAGCTAATCCTCGAGTTAAGACCACAATTGGGGCAAAAATTTATGTTGCTAATTGAGACAGTTGTTAAGTGAATTTTGCCCCATTTTGCGACCTTTCTTGCCATAGTAGCTAAGTGAATCATTGAAGCTGCTAAGTTAGTGACACAGTTGTTAAATGAATCTGGCTTCCCCATTGACTGCTTATCAGAAGGTCTCAAAAGATGATCATGTGACCTTGGGACACTGCAATTTTCATAAATATGAGTCAGTTGCCAAGCATCTGAATTTTGATCATGTGACCATGGAGATGTTGCAACAGTCGTAAGAGTGAAAAACAGTCATAACTTGTTTTTTCAATGCTGTTGTAAGATTGATAGGTCACTAAATGAATTGTCAAGGATATCTATAACATGGAATGGAATGGAATGGAGGGGAGGGGAGAAGAAGAGGGGAGGGGAGAAGAGGATCATTTGGTTGGAAGGACCTTTATTATTTATTATGGTTCATTGCACAATCAGCCAGATGTTTATAGACTGAATTTGGCATTTTTATCCACCTATCGAGTCCTTCCCAAGGATTGGAGATAGGCAGACATGGAAGCATGATGGTATTAATTGTTTATGGTTATTATTATTTTGGTTTGTCAGCCAGATGTTCAGATTCTATTTATTGTTATTTATTAAAAATAATAAGTGGATGCTGGCTAGGGCATTGGAGAAATTGAAGTCCATACATCTTAAAGTTGTCAAGGTTGAGAAACTCTGCTAGAATAACCAATTTAAAGAAATAACTTTAAATTCTTGTCATATAAAATCTGGTTCCTCATTCCAACAAAAATAACAGACATAAAAATCACATTTTTACAAACAGCAAATCTGTGCTCATTTACACCCTCATGTACATTATTAATTGCAGTCACTAATTGGTGGTTTGTGCTCTAGAATGTTTGTTTCTCTCAAAGAATTTGAGTTGAGAAGTGTGTTAACCAACTTGTTATTTCACACTTTCTTCTACCTTCCATAGGTAGGTAGAAAGATAGAAAGACGGATAATTTGAGGGAAAGGGCCCCTATACTTACTTGTGTATTACTTTAGATAAAGTTCCTATTTGCCTTTCAACCACTTTTTTTGATAATTTCTCTTCTTCCTTTTTCTTCCAGAACCAACATACTTGCAGTACCATCTCTTCCCCAAAAGAGTTGTATCCGAAATACGTGCTTGTTGAACATCTGACCAGTCACTCATCCAACAATGAGATCTGTCTCCTTGTTCAAGCTTGAAAGACATCCTGGAAGTCCAAGGGGAGAAATGGAAATGAGAAGATTAATACTAAGAAAAGATGTCAACCAAAGGGTTAAGAGAAGGCAGGGCTGTTGTATTAAAATGCTACAGCTGGCATTCTTCACAATGAATAGTTAGGTATATGTTTTATTTATTTTTATCAGTTGCTCATTAAGTGGGCATCAAAATTCTTTCAAGCCATCCCAAACCACAACTTAATTTCTCCTGTATTTTTTTTTTAAAAAAAACATTTCTTCCACAAGTCATATGGTTAAATTCATCCAAACTATCCTCTAAATAGAGAGGATTTTAAACATGAAGGAAGTTTCATTTAAAGCCCACAACAAGAAAAGGCATATATCATTGTAATCCTAAAGGAATTAATCTGCAATATTCCTTTATCCAGTTTGATCTAGCGGTTAAGGCACTAGAAATTTGGAGACTGTATGTTCTCGTCCCTCTTTAGGCATGAAAGCTGGTTGGGAAATTTTGTGCCAATTACCAGAGACTATGAGTTCTAGTTCCGCCTTAGGCATAAAAGCCAGCTGGATGACTTTGAGCTAGCCTCTCTCCCTTAGCCCAACTCACATTACAGTGAGGTTATTGTGGGGAAAATAGGAGGAAGAAGGAGTATTAGATATGTTCACCTGCTTGAATTGTTTATTAAAAAAATAATAAAGGTGGGATTTAAATAAAAATAAATAAACCATAGTTGATTAAGAAAAACTGCCTTCGAAAACAATGCTAAGAACTGTTTGCTAAGAGCTGTAGTGGAGGCTAGATAAATTTGAGCATGAAGTCCCTGACTAGCAGTTTTTTTTTCTTTTTGGAAGTGTGCTACCATAGCACCCTTTAGGCTTAGAAAATATTCCTCTTGGGCACAAGGGACTGCAGCAAGCAAATAAAAAAGGAACAGACTGATTGCAATTGAATTCATTATTGAACACGGAGTTCAGTAAACCCAAATGAACTCAGAGAAATGCGTAAGAGCAAACAAAACAAAAAACATGACCCCAGATTAGGTATCCTATAGCAAACAAGCTGGAGCCAATTTCCATACCATGCTGGTGAAATATTTATCTATAATTCCCAAAGCCTCTGACTGTATACAGTACTTACATATCCGAGTGAGGGATTGGAAGAGTTATGGCAAGATGGTATTAATAGAGGAGAATATTTGTAGCTTAGAGGTGAACTGTGGAGTCCTTGGCATTTTCTGAACTGGGCCATTTTCTTGCAGACATTCTGTTTCCTGACTAGGTAACATCATCAAATAATATAAATACCAGACTGGTATATTGTTCCCATTATCCCTTAGTTCAGGACCCTGAGGTCCAGACTGAACAATAGGATGGTAAAAGGAAAGCAATTGAAGAATGATCCTACGAGAAGAATGATATGAAAATATTTTCCTGTATACTTATGTAGATTGATTTATATATAATAAACTGAATTTGTTATATAAAATGTGATCTTGTGCTTCAAAACTAGGATGGGTCTCTGAGGTGAAGCTGGCTTCATTGATTTATTAGATTTACAGTGCACATCCTCTGCATTGTTGTGTATATTTATAAATTCACATCACACACACACACACACACACAGAGAGAGAGAGAGAACGAGAACGAGAGAACAGTAAATACTATGTCAGTCTTCCCATTTTATTCTCCAACTGAGTGAAGCAATTATTGGATTGGATGTCCCAAAATGGAGAGGTCGCCAATTTTTATTTTTTTGACTGGTGTCCCTTAACACAAGGTGACCTGCCCACCCAAAACCTCTACCTGCTAATGTAACTTATTACGTTGGTATGCTGAAATGTCTCTCCTCTGCCACCTGTATTTTTTTTCCCTGAAAAGTGGGCGAACTGCACCATTGGCATTGACAAATTCACCACCAGTCAATTGCAAAAGGCAGCTTTATTTGGAACAGCTTACATCCTGCGATGACAACTGTAACACCCTTAAACCAACATCTGCCTACCCCAGGTCTTTAGGTAGTACTTGATAGGTGGATAAAAATGCCAAATCCAGTCTGAACATCTGCCTGACAGCGATGAACCATAATTTCCCCTGCGCTTATTTCATTCTGGTATGTGAAAAAGTGACAACACTTTCCTATGAGAGCTGTCTTAGAGTATCATTACCCCTGCTAGATTAGCTCAGAGGTCTCCAAGCTTGGCAAATTTAAGACCTATGGTCTTCAACTTCTAGAATTTTGGAGTTGAAGTGCACAAATCTAAAAGTTGCCAAGTTTGGAGAGCCCTGGGTTAGCTCAATGAACTTCTTTGGGGAGGAGTTCAGATCACCGTGGAAAACACTGGCTGGTCCTCATTCTTTCTATCTAAACATATTTTGACAGGAGTTCACCAGACATCCCTCCATCAGCAATATCAATTGGATTGACTGCCAACCTTCTGCTTTTCAGGGAAATCCGCTACTTATCAAAAAGCTAACATTGCAAACTTGGAAAGACACAGTGCTCCAGAACACATTGTTGAACTAAAAGAAGACCATGCCATGAGAATATTCTGTACAGTGCTGTTTCTATATTTGTTTGGGGTTTTTTCCTTATTTTTATTTGGTTTTAACCCACATTACGTATCTGATATTAGCACAATTGAGAAAGTCCAGAAATATTTCACAAGAAGAGTTCTCCACTCCTCTACTCGTTGTAGAATACCTTATGCCACCAGACTTGAAATTCTAGAACTAGAAAACCTTGAATTACGCCGTCTTCGGTCTGACTTAAGCATGGTATATAAAATCATACATTGCAATGTCCTACCTGTCAATGAATACTTCAGCTTCAACCATAACAACACAAGAGCACACAATAGATACAAACTCAATGTTAACCGCACCAAACTTGATTGCAGGAAATACGACTTCAGCAATAGAGTGGTCAATGTCTGGAATACTCTACCCGACTCTGTAGTTTCTTCCCCAAACCCCAAAAACTTTAAACTTAGACTGTCTACTATTGACCTCACCCCTTTCCTAAGAGGTCTGTAGGGGGGCGTGCATAAGCGCACCAACGTGCCTACCGTCCCTGTCCTATTGTTTCTCTTATTCTTCTTTTATTTTTCTTATATGTACCCATTTCATGTATTCACAACTATGTATACACTTATACTTATTATCTTGTAAACAATTGGCAAATCAAATAAATAAAAATAAATAAATAAATAAAATAAACTGTTGGCCATCCAGAATCATGGGTAGGAGATGGTTGGCCAATACGTTATTAAATTGCAGAATGGAATCAGATTGTTTAGTCCAAACTATTTTTAACATAGAATAATACTGAATTTTTCAGTATCACTGAGGGTTTGAACCTTGGACCTCCTGCCTGCAAAGTGTCTATTTTGCAAAGTACTTATATTAAATAAGTCATGCCCAGTTTTATGTTATTTTTGCCATGATTTTTAAGGAAACCCCTGCAGTTCTTAAGTGAATCATAATATGGTCATTAAGAAAATCCTACTTCCCACTGACTTCATTTATCAGAAGCTGGCTTGTGGGAAGGTCATAAATGGTGATCACATGATCTTGGAAGGGCGCGATCATTGCAAATAGGTGCTGGATGCCATGCTCCTGAATTCTGATCTCGTGACTGTGGGGATGCTGCAAGGGTTGTAAATTTGTGGATGGTTTTTTTAGTGCCATTGTAACTTCCAACAGTTGCTGAACCAACGATTGTAAGTCCTGAACTACCTGTGCAACAAACGATGGATGCTTGCACTGGAAAAGTTGGACTTGCTAATGGCCGCTTTATTTAAGAAAGAAGAAGAAAAGCAGGGAGAGGTGCCTCTGATGTAAGAAATGACAGCTATCCCAGCAAGCAAAGTTCATATGTGCAAGCTTTTATATGTGTTTTTTTTAAAGAAAACACTTAATTGACAATATTTGCGTAGGTAACTTGTAGTTTTGAATAGAGGAAAAATAAAAATGCAATTGACAGTAATCAGTTCGTTTTTTCTTCTTCTTGCCTGCTAATTGCAGTTGGCCAGATCATAAAGTATGGCTTTCCTCTGGGAACTCAGTCAAAAATTGGCTCCCTGTGGCCAGGAGTGCCCCATTCTGAATGCAACGTTGGTGTATGCTCACTACGGTTTTGAGTCTCCCACTCTCTGCAATCTACTAGTTTTTCCCTCGAGTTTGATTAGGGTGAATATCCTCTTCATCATAATTGGGATGTTACATGCTTTAAATATTCCCCTTTATCAGAGACGACCCTGATTTTATTTTCCTCCAGCTCTTTATAAATAAATGTTTAGAATGAATTTCTAGAAAGTTGAACAATGTCCGGATCCTTCTCACTTCATTCCTTTATGATTTTCTGATTTTGGTTTTAACACAGCAGAGTTGAGACTGTATTGCATGGGATAAATTTTATCTTTTCCCTTGCAGTTTCCCCAGAATTAATAAACAGACAGAATAACAGAGTTGGAAGGGAACTTGGAAGTCTCACTCTTTATGATTGAGAAGGTTGTGTCCAGCATGCATTTTTTCTGCAAATAAAAGTAGTCCTTGACTTACAATTACAACTAAGCCCAAAATTTCTGTTGCTAAGGAAGACAGTTGTTAAGTGAATTTTGCCCTATTTTACAGCCTTTCTTGCTATAGTTGTTAAGAGAATCATTGCAATTGTTAAGTTTGTAACATGGTTGTTAAGTGAATCTGGCTTCCCCTTTGACTTTATTTGTCAGGATTGTTATGATATGTACAGAATAACCCTTGAGTAACAAGAATATGCACATGGAAATGTTTATGAGAATAGTTATGAATAATTATCCAGCCACACACACAGACACACTAAATTGAGTTAAAGTTTACTTTAAGAAATAGCACAGTCCAATAAACGGTCCAGGTCATATACGTTTAACAGTCCAAAGAATATCCAATTACAAAGTCTTCTTACCAGTTGTCTTTGTCATTTACTGTAAACAAAGATAAAAAAATATAAGCACAGCATAAATACAACAGAGAACCTTAGATAGCAACAGAATGTCAGAGATACAGAATGTCAGAGAGACAGAAT